AAAACTGGAAGTGTTTTATTTTTTTGAGACCCTGTCTCAAAATAAATAATAATAATAAAAAAACTGGAAGTGTTTTATTGTTTTGAGACCCTGTCTCAAAATAAAAAATAAAAAAAAATTTAAAAACTCAGTGATAAAGCACCTCTGGGTTAAATCTCCAGTACCARAAGAAAAATTAGCTAAATTAAAGTTCCCATATATTCTTTTAGCCTTCTTATAATCTCCCCTATCATCAACATCTTGCATTAGGGTAAGCCCATTCTTTTTTAAAATAATATTTAAATAATTGGAGACTGCCATTGTTTTGGCAAGTAAGTAAATAAGTATTCTAGTAATCTTAAGCAGTTGGACCTATTAGTTACTGACAGAATTACTTTGGCATCATTTTTATATCCAGACTAAAATTATTTTATTTGGAAGAAGTTCCTCTATTTAAATAGCTGTTTAGCTAGTTGGGGGCATAATATGCAACCAAATACGGTAAAGAAAGCACTAAAATTGTAACACTAAACTGTAGATTAATGTTCTACTYCCAGTTGTCCTCTGGGTTGGTGACTTGCTGAAACTCTGAAAGTCTGGGTTGATTAGAAAATATRAAAGAGGGCTTTTCTGTTTAAGATTTTATTAACTGACCAACCCATTGTTTCCCAAACTGGGTGCAAGACTATTTTAGATGGCTTGTAACTTTTATTTATTTACACAGTTCTGTGTTTATTTTGAAGTACATTTTAAAGTGTATTTAAAATCTTATACCTTATGTTGATTGCAYAAATGTTATTGCTAAAAATGAGGCTAAATTTTAAAAATTGGATAATTGGTGYCAAATTAAAGGAAATATTAAGTATCTAATAGTACCAGTAACCTAGATATAAATGGATAAAGGCAACCAAAAAAAGTTCAGGAAATACTAGATTAATTTAATTTTTTTTTTGTAATGGGAATTGAACCCAGCAACACTTAATCACTGAGCCACATCYCCAGCCCTTTTTTGTATTATATTTAGAAACAGGGTCTCACTGAGTTGTTTAGGGTCTCACCAAATTATTGAGGCTGACTTTGAACTCACAATACTCCTGCTTTCGTCTCCCAGACTGCTGAAATTACAGGCGTGTGCCACATGGCTGGCATGGATTGATTAATGTATTAATCTATTCAAGAAATAATGTCAAAGCAAGAGATGTGGTTCAGTGACAGAGTGCTTGCCTAGAATGTGAGAGGCCCTGGACTTGATCCCCAGCACTAGAGGAAAGATTGTGTCAAATAGGGCTGTGCCCCAGACTTATTTTTAACCTATATTCTACACATAATTTGATTCAAATAATGAACAAGTACATTAGAATTTACAARTGAAGATAATATCACGAGAAAAGTATTTTATCAGAGAAATGCCCAGGAGTTAGGGAATACAGAATAAGAGCAATTAAATCTGATTCTAAACACCTTCAACATTTCCATATATTTATCAAAGACTACAAGGCCAATTAGTGAATTGAGAGAGGGACTGATGAAACCTGCCTTAATATTTCTTAGGTTGTAATAATTTTCTCATATTATATGGTATATTAACTCAAGATATTAACCATGAACTTACCCTAATGTTTGGGTTCATTTGTGGCTCATTCTTAAATAAAATGCTGCATGATTCTACCTACCCGGGTTCGATCCTCAGCATCACATACAAACAGAGATGTTGTGTCTGCCGAAAACTAAAAAATAAATATTAAAAATTCTCTCTCTCTCTCTCTCTCTCTCTCTCTCTCTCTCTCTCTCTCTCTCTCTCTCTCYCTYTWWAAARAAAGTTTTTTCTTAGCTCTTGGGAAACTGAGTCTTCAATTAACAGTAATCCRCTTATCTCAAGTATTCAGTAATATCTGTTACCTSTGTTAGTTTTAGAAGTGATAATAGTTAATAATTAGAATCCTATGTACAAAGTCCATAACTAATACACAGGACCTTAACACACAACCACTGTATAGAATATGTACTATGGTTATTCCCACTCATTATTTTAGGAAATCATGGCCAACACAGGTGATATTTCTTGGCCAAAGACCCACGGTATGTATTGACCAAATACAGATCGCTTAACTCCAAAATCTACACTATTAATTTCTCTCTTGTGTTCTCATCCTCATTTTTCTTTTTTTTTATTAGATGCTCATGACAATACAATGATCTTGAAATATCACACATTTGAATCAAATGAGGTATAATTTCTCATTTTTCCAAGTGTACAGTTTGCAGAATCACATTGGTTATACAGCCACTATATACATACAGCAATACTAGTGTCTGTTTTATTCTGCTGCCCTTCCTATCCCCCCTTCCCCCCTCCTCCCCTCCCATCACCTCTCTCTACCCAATCTAATGTGACACATTTCTCTCTCTCTCTTTTTTTCCCCTCATTTTTCTTTTTATGGTGTTTTGCAAGTATAAAACTCTTTCAAATTCTTTTTTAAGCAGAAAAGTATTGCTCCTAAACTTATGAACGAATTTTGTGGCAAGTCCTTCTTCTATAATTTTCTTTCTTTCTTTTTTTTTTAACATGGAACACTTCATCAATTTGTGTGCCATCTAATCTTTGTATTGCCATGCTAATCTTCTCTGTATTGTTCTAATTTTAGTATATGTGTTGCCTAAGAGAGCATTGGGTTTTTTTAATCCTTTATATGGTACCTAAAAAATTAATGTATGCTTTTATATTTGCATTTTTATGGAAAGCTTTGTTTGAAGTAATGTGCCACTACTTTGGGTTACAATCTATAACCTAGCTGTCATTATCATCTTGATGTTCATGGAATAAGATTAAATGATTTATGGATGAGCATTTTCATGGCTTTCTCACTAAATAATCCTGCCCAGAGCTAAAGCACCCTAGCAACTGAGAGAAAAATAATTGTGTACTCCAAACAATATTTTTTTWAAAAAGTTTTCTTTTGTAGTTGTAGATGGACAGAACATTTATTTTGTTTATTTTCATATGGTGCTGAGGATCAAACCCAGTGCCTCATGAATGCTAGGCAAGCGCTCTACCACTGAGCTACAGCCCCAGCCCCTCCAAACAGCATTTTAGAAGGAAGAAACTGAAGGGAATCCTGAGCTTCATCCCTTTCTTGAAAGCCAGTTGAGTTCCTGGGGAATGAGTCCTTGGCACAGTGATCAGAGTTCTTATCTGGCATATCAGCTCTCAGGGTTTCAAATGACAAAATGACAGTATTAACCCAACTTTCTATGTCTGCCACTGTAAATTTACTGAACACAGAGGTAATAGTTATGAATGTGGTGTCTGCCTCCCACCCCATTTCTAGTTATCTACCAATCTAGCCATCTGTTTATCTGCACTCCAAATATTTGAAACATTAAAGATCCTCTCTCCTCCCCCTAAAGATTTTAAAGAACCGCATACTATTATAGTATGTTTTATATGTGTTAGTATCAAAGCCTCAAAATTAATTGATTTGTAAATGATATTATTGAAGATAAATAGGAATATATTATCTTAGTTTTATTTATTTGCACATATATGTGTGTGTGTGTGTATATATATATATATATATATATATATATATATATATATATATGAATGTGCTCTCTGCTGTAGAGAAGGAAAGTAAGACAGAAATGGACATGGATAATTTTATCCAAACGCATAATCAGTTTATGCATGTTCTTCTTTTTCTGTTGCAACCACTGTCATTGCTTTCCATGACTTGATATCTTAGATTGAATTTCTGCTCTTGCTATGTTTAGAATCTAATTTTAACTTGGCCAACTGACTTACTATGAAACCATGTGAGTGTTGCTATTTTTAAATAAATAATAGTTGTCCCTAGCTCCCAGTAAAAACCCTCTAGAAAATCACTGTGTGCCTGTTCCACTCCACATCACGTTTCAGGATGTAAGATAATGATTTTTTTTAAAATAAATATTTATTGAACTTCTGCTGTAAGTCAGGCAATAGGCTGTGTGCTTACATAACTTTCTCAGTTAATCCTCAAAAATAATCTTGTGTTCATAGGAACTTCTTGCTTTGCCAAGCACACTGAAACTTTATGTAAAAATTAGAAAGCTGTGTGCTGAGTGCAGAGATCATGGATATTTACGTCAGTTCTGAGTTCAAATTCCATCTTTGCCACTTTTTGGCTATTACTTTGCCACTTTTTGGCAAATTACTTCTTTCTCTGAGTCTCAGCTTTTTTGTTTATAACATGAGGACAATACTTCCTTGCAAACTGTTCTGAAGAAATATTAAGTTGAGGTAGCATATTAGGTGCTTCTGCAGTGTCTAGTGCAAGAGCAGCACAGTAAAATGTAGTTAGTTAATTGTTATTATTCTGAGATTTTTTTAATGTCCTCAGGAAGAAGAAATTCAGAGTTTGAAAGATATATGTTAGTTAAAGCATCACTCACTATACAGCTCCTAGAACTCTGACCTGAACACTTTCAATTTGAGCAGAAATTGATGCAATAACCCAATGTGGCATTTGAACAACTGCCAAGTCTTTCGGTTGGAGCCATTTGCCCCCAAGAGTCTTCAAACATCTGCTGGAAACTCCGAATGATTGTTCCTGGTGATTGTTTAACAGAATATTAGCTTTAAACAGGTGTGTCTTTGCCTGTTTGGTCTGAAAACATCTTATGAAGAAGCTGTTCTGCCTGCATCTACAGGGGGAATTCTCACACCTACATTCAACTGGGTCTGAGTTAAAACTACATGCAATGGGGCTGGGGTTGTGGCTCAGTAGTTACAGCACTTGCCTAGCATGTGTGGGCACTGGGTTTGATCCTCAACACCACACATAAATAAATAAAATAAAGGTCTATTGGCAACTAAAAAAATTTGAGAAAAAAGAAAAAACTAGGGCTTGGGTTGTGGCTCAGTGGTAGAGCACTTGCCTAGCCTATGTGAGGCACTGGGTTCGATTCTCAGTAGATTTATATATAAATAAATAAAGTCCATTGACAACTAAAAAAAATATTAAGGAAAGAAAAAACTACATGCAATGATTTCAGTCTTTGCAATGTTCTTTGGGAGACTACCTGGATGCTTTGGGGACCAAACAACTCAAGGACCTTTTTAGGGTAGTCTGAGGGTTATGCCTTGTGACTTGAGTTTTCCCTCAATGCCAACAGAGATAACAGATTGGGTACACCTACTCCTGCTCAAGTGGTGCCTTTCAGTAGGGTCTTCTCTGCTGTCTGCTATAGGAGATATTGATATAGTTTCTTCCGTTTGGGGCCAGGAGTTAAGAGATCTTGGTTACTGAGATTTGTGTGCAAGAAGGCAAGAGGTCTCACATTTACTGAGCTTCTACTCTTGTGTCAGGAATTTCACAAGGGAGATAATTTGGGCTTTCATTTTTTCTTTTCCTTCCTCCCTTCTCCCTCCCTCCTCTCCTTCCTTCTTTCCTTTCTTCTTTCATGTGGTACTAGACATAGAACCCAGGAACTCACACATGGTAGGTAAGTGTTCTACCACTGAGCTACACCCCTACTTTTCAGCTTTTATTTTTATGACATTTTCCAAATCACCTTACACAATTTCTGTCATAGTGTTTATTTCATAGCAGTTGCTGAAGCATTGAAAATTGCAATGATGTTTTCTAATACATCAAGACTTAAAACACTTTCCTAATAAATATTTTCATAAAATTTTACCAACTGGAGTACTCTCATTTTGTATCATAAACTAAGGGACCTAAGAAATCTTCAGGATGGTTGATATTTTTAATCTCTCTCTCTCTCTCTCCCCTGCATAATCCTGTTTAGAAAATTCATGTTTTATTTGCCTTAAATAGGCAGTCCAGTTTTATGTAAATTGTCTATTGTTCATATGATACAATTTTGTCAGCAAAACTCAAGTATACCATCACAGAAGTTATAAGTTGCCCAGAATATTTTGAAAAATAGATTTTGATATTTTAATATCTGAATCAAGCTTACCATCCTGTTCATTGTATTTTAAAAGTTTCTGTGTTTAAAACTGAAGTTTTTGCAAAGGATTAGATATCTTTGTAGAAACGATTTAGTTTTCATTTGAATGCCCAGCAGGCAGAGTTTAGGGGTTGTTATGAAGCAGATCTATTTTAATGTGGTTCATTTAACTGGTTTTACTCGTATATATTATCAGACTTGAATGGAACTTTTTGGGGAATTTAGTTTGGTTTCTATGTATTCAGGCTTTGAGATTTCATAAAAAAAGAAGCTTTCAGTGAAAAGGATAGTGCTATTTAAAGTTCTTTTTCTACAACTTAAAAAGGATTAACTGTTGTTTGAATCACTAATATATGCAAGCGGTGCAAAATTCAAAAGTTACAAAGGCTACACTAAGGAAAATGTCCTCTCCCTCCCTTCCTTGATCCCCAACCATTTAATGTCACTCTCAGATACATTTGTCAGTTTTTTGACTCTCCCTATGTTTTAAGAACCAAATGCAAATATTTAATTCTTTGGTTAGTGTCTTATTACCTTCCTTTTAGAATAACCAGAAAAATGACATAGGGTATAATTCTTCCAGAACCTGATACAAAGTCCTTATTTTACATATGAAGCACAGAGAAAGTAAAATTTGCATATTTTCCATAAGTCTTGGGAAAGTCTTCTACTGCAGAGCAATACAGTGATAATTGTAAATTCTGCTACAGATTATGTGGGAAATAACTTTACAATGACCATATAATATATTTTAACTAAGTAAAAGCTAGTTTCATTAAAGTTAAAGAATATAATAAAATATTTTAATTATTTGATAATTATTTTTGTGCATACTGTGTCTCTGAATTACAAATACCCGAATTAAAGCTTTTCATGAATTTATGTAGGATTTGGGGAGGGGGATCTAATTTCCTCCAATTGGAAATCTTTCTCCCTAATGTTTTTTTTGTTTTTTTTTTTTTGTTTGTTTTTTGTACTGGATATTGAACTAAGGGGCACTTGACAACTGAGCCACATCCCCAGCTCTATTTTTTTGTATTTTATTTAGAGACAAGGTCTCACTGAGTTGCTTAGCAACTCACCGTTGCCAGGCTGGCTTTGAACTTATGATCCTCTTGTCTTGGCCTCCAGAGCCACTGAGATTACAGTCGTGCACCACCATACCAGCTCCTGATGTTTTTTCATATGCAAGTTTAAAAAGTAGTATTGGGGGCTGGGGACTGTTTAGTGAGGCTTTGCATTACTGGGACCAAAATACCCAACAAGAACAGCTTAGAGGAGGAAGTTTATTTTGGGGCTCACAGATTCAGAAGTCTCAGTCCCTAGATGGCTGACTCCATCACTCAGGGCCCAAGGTGAGGCAGTATATCCTATATCCTAGGAGAAGGATCCAGTGGAGGAAAGCTGCTCAGCTGATCACAAGGCCAGGAAACAAGAGAGAGAGAGGGAAGGAGGAAAAATGGACCCTTCCAGGACACACACTCAGTAACCTTCCTCCTCCAGCCACATCCCACTTGCCTCCAGTTACACCTAATCAGTCCATTCAAACTAAGATGGACACTCTAAGTTACTAGAGTTATTATTAGATATCTCATATCTAATCATTTCACCTCTGGATGTTTCTGCATTAACAGAAGCTTTTGGGGGACACCTTATATTAYTATAAAGGTGTAGCCTGCTGTGTACAAGGCCATAGGTTCATTCCCAGTACCAC